AAGGATACCCGCGAAGACATGGGAGAAGCAGAGAACAAAAAGAATAGGATAAAGAGAGTCTCTGTCAAGGACCGTCTTGGTCCCCCACCTTTGAGAGAGCGACAAGCATTCACACCACTCAATGCTTCCGTAGAGCATATCCTATTTTAAATACAAGATGATCCTATAGTNCTTCACGCCACTCAATGCTTCCGTAGAGCATATCCTATTTTAAATACAAGATGATCCTATAGTACACTGCCCAGAGAAGATGAAGAACGCCCCGAACCGAAGGACCCTAAACAAGTACTACTGCTTCCACCGCGACCATGGCTACGACACGGACAACTGCTTTGATCTTAAAAGACAGATCGATGAGCTCATGCAACGTGGTCAGTTGAGGCAATACGTTGCTAGTAGAGGGCAAGCCCTACCACCTGGGAGGGACCAGGGTGACAGAGAATGCCAACAGACTCTCGGAGAAATCCAGACAATCTCTTGAGGGCTAAGAGGAGGAGACGACTCCAACTCTACCAGGAAAGTCTTGGTCCACCTATGGCAAATCGAGCACCTAAAATTTTATCTATCCTTTATTGTTTCAGTTAATTTATTTTGTTATTATTTTATGAAATAAAACTCTGTGAAGATTATTGTGCCCGAATTGTCTTCCTAAAATTTACAAATAGCTTACAAAAGTCAGAACATGACCTAACAACAAGGAAGACAAAAAGATGAAAGGTGTCATCACTAGGCGCCCAAATGAGGGGTCTCGCCCTTTCCACCTTGGGCGCCGCCCCAAACAAGGGGTCTCACCTTCTCCACCCTAGGCACTTCCTATGATTCCTTCTAGATGAGGGGTCTCGCCCTTTACACCTTGGACACCCCCATGATGTCGTCCAAACAAGGGGTCTCACCCTCTCCACCTTGAGCACCTCCTATGATGCCTTCCAGATGAGGGGTCTCACCCTCTCCACCTTGGGCGTCTCCCATACTTGGACTATGACTCTGTTCTCACGCAAGTCACCTAGTAAGCCTCTACCACGGCAGCTACTTCCCGAGACTATACGTAGCTCGATCTATGACTCTGCTCTTGCGCAAGTCACCTAGTAAGCCTCTGCCACGGTAGCCATCTCCGGAGACTATATGTAGCTCGGCCTATGACTCTGCTCTCGTGCNACTACTTTCCGAGACTATACGTAGCTCGGTCTATGACTCTACTCTCGCGCAAGCCACCTAGTAAGCCTCTGCCACGGCACCCATCTCCCGAGACTATACGTAGCTCGGCCTATGACTTTGCTCTCACACAAGTCTCTGCCACGGTAGCCATCTCCGGAGACTATATGTAGCTCGGCCTATGACTCTGCTCTCGTGCAAGTCATCTAGTAAGCCTCTTCCATGACAGCCATCTCCCGAGACTATATGTAGCTCGGCCTCTATGACTCTGTTCTCGCGCAAGTCCATCTCCCGAGACTATACGTAACTCGGCCACAGCTAATGCGACCCTCTCACAGGACATCCACAGCTCTCACGTTGCTCTCATACAAATAGTCTACCCCTCTCTCCAGGTAATCATGTTAGATATTTTAATGTTGAGATAACATTATTTTTGTCAGGTACACTGTTGAAGCTCAGGTCGTCTGCAACCGAGCCATTACTAGAAGGAGGGTGAAGCCACAGTCCCCGTAAAAACTACACTAGAGCCTCAACTCCTACAGCGGTACAAGGACTAATTCTAATACACACAGAAGCCCCAATCTGGGAAGGAGTGGGGGCACCACCGGATCCCGCTCCCAGGAAACAACCTGGTCATCGAACCTTGGCCGAAAAGCACTGGGGGCATCAAACCTCACCCTGTTGGGAGGAGGAGAAGATACTACCCTAAAAGCACAAAAATCTCCACCATTGCTCTATCAACAGGATGCCTATAATTAGAGATAAGGTCAATTAGTGAGCAAGCACCAGAGAGACGTCGCTCATAGCAAGACTCAAGGCATCCTCCAAATACAGCAGTGCTCAAGGCCTCTTGGCGTCGCCCAAGGCGCCTGACCAACCTCCTAGCATCACTTGAAGCACTATCACAGTCTCCTCCAAGCGTCGCCCAAGCTAGCACACAGCCATGGTGCCGCCCAATAGACCCTCTCACTTGACCAACAGGCATCTCCCAAGGAAGGAAGCTAAAAAAAAGAAGGATGCAAGGGGCGACGCCTAAGGGAAACCAACAAAAAGAAAAAAAAAAAAAAAGACCGAAAAAAGGTGGCGCCCAACAAGAATAAAAAAAAAAAAAGAGAAAAGGGCAAAGGAGGCGGCGCCCAGACCAAGCAGGGAGAAAGAAGAAAAAAAAAGAAAGAGGAAGAGGAAGAGGCGCCAGACCAAAGGAAGAAAAGAAAAAGAAAGAAAAGAGAGAGAGAGAGAGAGAGAGAGAGAGAGAGAGAAGGGAGGCGGCGCCCAGCCCAAGCAAGGAGAAAGGAACAAAAAAAACAGTCTGAATATGCAGTCTGAGAATCCACAAATGGCTTGTGCAGTCTGAGAAACAACAGGCGCTCAACACACTGCCAAAGCAAAGCAAGGAAAAGGCAAAGAGAAAAAAAAAAGAAAGAGAAGAGAAAGGGGGAGAGAGGGGCGGAGCCCAGCAGCAGCCAAGACAGAAGAAAGAGAAAAACAAAAAAAAAGAAAGGGAGAGAGGGGTGGCGCCCAGCAGCAAAAATAAGAAGAAAAAAAAAGAGAAAGGGCAGAGAGGTCAGGCGCCAGCAGCCAACCCAAAAGGAAAAGAAAAAAAAAAAAAAAAAAGTCAACAAAAGTGGGCATCGAATCAACCTAAAAAAGAAAAGAAAAGAAAAAAAAAAAAACTATGTTCAATACTGATCAATACAACGGAGCTTTGAAGACGAGGAAGATTTCGACTTACTCTAATAAAGACGAAGCACATGCCTGCAACCTCTTTCTCTCGAAAAAGTTAGAGGTTCGGGGCATGGGAGGCAAATGATGATTCTAAAATTAATTGGGTCAAGTCCAATTTAAATAAACCAAGAAAGCTCAAAGAAGAGCCCAATTGAATATGGATCGACCCATTAGGAGGAAAATCAAAAGGACATCAAGAAACCAACGTCCAAGAGGCCAACATAAAAAAGGCAGACATCCAAGAGGTACAAGAGGCCAACGTCTAGAGGCTAATACCCAAAGCACCAAGAGCCAACGCTCAAGCACTTGGAGCGTCGCCCATGGCCCCCTCAACTGTCCAAGCACTGCTCATTGCTCCTCATTTTGCCACTCCAATGCAAGTCCAAGATCACTCTGGGTCCAAGCCCAAAGTCAAGTACGAGCTCAGTCCAGTTCAAGACCTTCCTCCGAAGAAATAGGAGCACGAGGGAGAAAACATCGGGATAGGCACGGAGATCTCCTACCATAGCTGTACTTACTAAAATAGTAGAAGTTTTTCTCCTCACGTCACCGCCTCATCACACCTATATAATGTAAGCTTTCTCCATATAGAGAACAGACTCTCATATCCCTACACACACTACACCTTCCTACACGCATTGCTCTCTCTCTCTCTCTCCAAAGCATTGTAATACTCCTAGAGAATACTTACTCCGGTGACTTCACTCATTAATAAAAAGATCCAGGCCACCGCTGCCGTTCCCGAGAGTGGAGTAGGTCATCCGAACCGAACCACTATAAACCTCTGTGTTTTCTCCTTATTTACTGCTTTAATTATTTATTGTCATTGATTGCATGTTATTACTCACTAATTGCACACGTTCGTATATTTGACTGTTGATCTTGCGCGAAGATAATTTTGTGCAAAAAAAAATTTTAACACAAAAAATATTTTTTTGTCGAGTTAATTGCGTTGTGTTATATATTTCACATTTACAACAATTCATATAATATTTTTTAAAAATTAAAAAATAATTATTTTTTATCTATAATACTCATTAAATTTCGTTTCTAACTATAATTTGATCGAACAATTAAAAGATTTGTGTTTAATTATAGATAAAAAATAACTATTTCACTAATATTGTAGACAAAAACTAGGTATTTTATATTTTTTTTAATTTTTAATTTTTTTTATTTACTCGAACATGACACGAAGATATTGTAATACGATACAATTGAGAGATATTTAACGAGCATTAATGAGTGAATTTTGATCATAAATATAATAATTAAATTTTGAAGGGTACAATTTGTAATTAGTCCAAACATTTTTAACGACTAAACAAGACAGAATTAACTCCAGACACATTAATACGAATTTATGTCTTTCAAGGTATAAATTGATATTTTTAAACTTTGAATATACAAATTAAAATTTGAGTGATCTTTTAGAGTATAAGTTGAGATTAGCCGAAAAAATAATAATAATTCAATAAAAACTCTTATTAAAACTTGCACCTCCCCCGGTGACCAGAAGTGTGTTGCCCGAGCCCCACTTTGTCTATCTTTTTAATTTTTCTTTTATTTTGGTTTAACCACGAGAGATATTCAAATTAGTTTATAAGTAATATAATTGAGACGTAATTTATTGATTTAATTTACTAAACTAATTCACTGTGACTTTTGAATTAATTGTGAACCCCATTAAATATTATAATTTGGTGTTAATCTAATAATTTTAATAAAATTATATCATTAAGTCAACAAATTATATTAAATTTTTAAATATAAATAAAATTATTCTTAGTTTATATATACTTCAATTAATCTTTCGTTCAATTCGATTAAAAATAAATCCCTTAAATAGAATAAGATATTTATAAAAAAAAATATTCCTCAACTTTATACTAAGAAATTGTCAGGATATGAGTTGACATGTCTGAGCTTCCTACTATGGTCGACCCGCTGTGTCAATCTCACATTGCCCGACTAATGCTTTCTTATCCGATTTATCCACCACAGAACATAGAAGGACCCCCCCACGCACAAAACACCACAACCTATTTCCTGAAACTTCCTTGTCATCGTTCTCATGGCCATTTCTTGCTCCATATTATACCTTTAACTATCTATCAATAACAATGGCAGCTTCAGTCTGTTCGTATCATGCTTCGCCGCTGCATTCACTCAATCTCCCGCACCACCAACAGCCACCACACTCCACCATTCCAATGATGGCCAGAAATCGGGGACTGAATCGACAACAACGTAGAACGGCGGTGGTGAGGTGCAGTGTAGGAATTGAGGACTTTATTGGAGGTGACCTGGTGAAGTTCGATCTGGGAAAATGGTTGTCGGACGTGGAAGAACACAAAGCCCTAGCTATATATTGTCCGCACGAGGGAGGCTACGAGGGGCGGTACTTCACTAGGCTTAGGTACCAGGGCTACCAGTTCTTGGACCTCTCCGCCCGTGGGCTCGGTGACCCTGAGACCACTCTCACCAAGGTTCACCCTGTTTGCCCGGTGAGTCTTATCAACCATCTTAACGGTGCACTAAAAGTTGAATGTGGGGTGAACTTTAAACATGAATAATAAGATTTGGACACAAAAACACACGTTAGAACAAAGAACATGCTTGATTTCTTTGACCTGATACTATATATGAAACCTGTAGAATTTGACAATTTTTTAGTTCGCTTATGTGGATCGACAAGATTTTCAATTTTTGGGGCTTGTAGGTGCTTGATTTGGTCGAGAAAAAGAGAGATTATCCTTGAATTTTTAGTTCACATATATATTAATTAATCCGACATAATTAACAGGGAGGTCATCATAAAATGGGTCGATCAAATCAAGGGTTCTAAGAACATGATATGAACCCAAAACGATTAGTGTAATACAACACAACTCTGATTACCCCCATGCATGGATGAAACACCCGAATTCTCATTCAAGACTTACATGGTTGGGTTGCAGGCTCACGTTGGGAAGCAGCCAATAGCAAGGTGGTATTTTCCACCAGAAGTTGATTACAGGCTTTCACAACTTCCTACAAACGCCAAAGGACTGGTTGTTTGGATACTTGAAGCCAAGGTAAAAAATACCAGTGAATTCAAAAAATTTCGGTTCCTATTTGATTAACAATGTCATTTTACATATGTCTATAAATTATGTGACTACATTGGTCAGGTTTTATCGAAGGCTGAACTGCAGTTTCTTGCCCTCCTCCCTGCACTCCGGCCTAAAGTCAGGGTTATTGCAGAATGCGGAAACTGGTACATAATCCTTTTTTTTTTCCTGCAAAATCACTCATTTCCTGCTGATAAGCCTTTGAAAAACATGGCAATGAAGTCGGGAGGGCAATTTTTGACATGATCCATTAGTACGATATAAATCCTACTAATGGCCGTGCTCTAGTTGACCCAATAATTTGGGTTGTGAAAATATCCACCCAATGCAAGAGAGAGTTTATGAAGTGAGTAGTCATGTTTGCATTTACCCTTAACACCCTATGCAGGAGAAAGTTTATGTGGAGGCCACTCAAAGAAACTGCAGGACTACAAGCAACTGAGGAAGCATGATGATCCGCAGAACCTTTGGGCTCTTCTCTGTTCATTGTATTACTCAGAGGCCTCCATGGTGAATCAGAGATGTAGTGTTCAGTAATAGCAATGCAACAGGCTAGCTTATGGTTCCCTGTTCCCTTCTTTACATCCATGACATTGCCAACCTCAAGTATCAAGAATCAAAATCATTCCGAATTAGGGTTTCTTCGAAATCAAAAGTAGCCAGAAGTACAGAAGTTATCCTAATTTACAAATGCTCAATTATGGGTCCCGCTTTATGTAATAGATCGCATACACCAACTACTTGCACATCGCTTATTTTTGTGTAAAATCATAAGATGTATGACACAACTCCATAAGACTACATTTGGAAGATAATCAGCATTTTTTTCAGAACTCTAAAACCCAGAACTCCTTCCTGATGGAACAATCACTTACCTGATTTGACAGCCCATATATATTTCCATAAAGCAAGCTAAAGTATTACATAAAAGCACCAAAACATACATGCTTTGAGGTACAACATAACAATGAGAGGTCAACTATCTGAACCTACCTAACATTTACAAATGTATGAGATTTCAAGAAAAAGATTGCAGAATTGACTCACAATATTATAAACAGGTCGTCATTCTTCAAAATGATGTAAAGGATATCCGGCCATCCACAACAAAGGTCAAAGGAACTAGTACACACTGGTGCAGTATCTTGGACATGACCACATTTAAATATAAGCTCTGGCTGACCTATATCTTTTCAGTCTTGTTTCTCTTTAAATATGAAGCAATAATCTACAGGCAGCGAACTACAACTTTCTCTTCCCAAGTCTACCAATATCTAAATCCATGAGCCTTGATGATGAAGGCATAGGTGATGGTGTAGACAAACCAATAGATTCTGGGATGTCAAGATTGACACTCATTGACGGGCCTGCCATTGCTCGCTTGACATCAAGTTCGTTCAGTAGATGAACTTCAAGTTTTACTTTGTCAATCTGGTTATTTTAGGAATAAAGTGATGGTCAGCGATTATTGCTTGTAAATCCCAATATCTATTACTACTTCTTCAGTAAGAATACAAGAGTAGGTTCAATGCCCTAACCAGTTCAATATGATGAATGGATGAATGTGCATCAGCAAGTTTCTTTTGCAGTTCCTCTACTTTCTTCCTTTGATATTCAGAATTGTCCATTTCATTGCCTTTCTCACCTAATTGCTGATACAATGCTGCACATAGTTTGTGTCAACCAAGTAAAAAGAACTTATAACAGAGATGCATTGCACTGACGAACTGGACTCCAACTCAGTGAAGGTCACAAAGTACAAAATAAAAAACAGCTTTCCATTTTGCTTGAAATTTTAACAAATAGGTTTCAAGAATTCATGAAAGACAAAGGGTCCATTAATCACATACTTCTCCTGAGTCACCCTAGGGAAACCAATGAGAAATTAAACATATCATGTAACTCCCGAAGAGGAAGGCTGCACTGGTCCCACATTGATTTTAACTGCTATAACTGTAAAACGCTTTGACATCAGAAAACAAGAAGAAAAAGCAGGTGACAATTTTATGTAATTTTTTCCTTATAAAATTCCGCATTAAAGCTTGGTCCCACCTCAGCTACACATCATGCTTGACCTACGTCATATATGTGATACAAGAACATGAATGACACAGCACAGAAAAAATTATGGAACTAATATATCTGCCATATATATAAAAGATAAATTCAAGTTTCCAACCATCGACAGTCACATTCATATTATCCAGTTGAGAGAAAGAGAGAGAGAGGCCACTGGGGACGACATGTACCTGTCAAATTTGATAATACCCATATCTGGGTTGGGATGTCGTAGAGCTTTTTTGCCAATGTCAGGGAGGATCTCAAGATCTCTCTGGCTTGTTCAGTGTCATGAAGTGCAAGTGCTAAATTCCCAAGGATCGTCAAATACTGTGAAACAAGTTGAAGATTCCCCAAATGTTTATGTGTCGTCTGCAAACCAGTGGCTAATTGATTTCTGCATAAAAAGTCATTGTACGGCATTAGAGAGAAAGGGAGATTTCTCTCACATGCTGCAACTATCCGTTGACACATCAAACTCAAAAACTGAGATTATCAAGAAAAACTCATGTTATGTCCAAAAATCCAGAGAACAGAAAAGAAAAAAATTACATAATGACTCATCACACAAAAGTCATAAATATAAAAATGGCAAGCAGTTCTCTTTTAACATTTTCCCGTACTATGAATAATGTTGAAATCCAACACCAAAATTGAAGTAATTTCTTATCAGGAGGGATTCTGATAGGTGATACGTAAAAAATAATGTTCTGTTTAGTTTCTGTAGGGCATTTCAAGGCATAAATCTGTGCCTCGCTAATGTTATGAAAGCCGTCCTCTCTGCCCCCCCCCCCTCCCCCCCTCCCCATCCCAAAAAAAAAACAAACCAACCCCCAATCGAACCCAACCCAAGACAAAAAAAGAAAGCAAAAGCTCAAAAGGCTTGCCATCAAACAAAAAACCTTACCAAGTGTCAATATCATCTCATTACCACCTCTGTGGCCAATGATTGCTTCATTGTCATGTTCACACTCACCAACTGATTTGATTTTCCATGACATATGCCAACCTACGAATACTACAGTAAGGATCCACAGCCAATCCAGCACAACATCAAAAGGAAGATAAAAACCCTATCTAAAAGAACCAATGCTCATATCTCCATGCAACCAAGCACAAAGGAGCATTGAAAGTACACAGCATAGTCTCAGATCCTGCTTCAGATTTCCTACATTGAAAAGGTAACGTAGCCTTAAACTAGCACATAGCATGTCAGCTTGCCAGGCATCAACACATGAAAGCCTCATGGCTAGATGCACCTTTATCGAACATTAGCCAAACTTTACTGACAACTCTAAATTACAACCCCTTGAAGGCATACATAGCTGCAGCGTCCAATACAGTTGGCACCAATAACATAAGAATAGTCTATCTTGTAGAGCAAAGTGACATGGAACAGACTAGAGATCTGAAACTGCAAGATTAAACTGTAACTGGAACCAGTGGTTTAGAGATCACAAACGATTCTGGGATTATGGTTCCGTAATTAACAGATTTTTGGCCCCTCGCTTAGAGTTTTTTAGTTGAAGGTTTTGTAACAAGCTCTCTAGCAGTAGAAATTTCAATAAATAGGAAAGACAAAAAAAAGAACGGATATTAAGACACCTTACAACACATAAGTATGATTGAGATCCACACATAACAATTACATACAGAACTCTGCAGTCATCCACACACCCAAGGAAAAGGACCTTTATTATTATACCATTTCACAAGATAGGAACTTATTTGAAGATACAAGAAAACTCTGAGACTCGCATAAACCTTTTAAGAAAGTTCTAAGCTACTAATAGACTAGATTAACCCAAGAAAAACCTTATGGTCCAGTATAAAGTAGGGTTTGTAGTACTTAAAAACTCTCAACTATTAATATTTTAATAGAACTTTAGAAAGTAGAAACTTCAAAAGATGACAGTAACAGAGAAACAGTCCTCAACTTAGAGTGTGTTTGTTAACCTAAATTCATTACTTAAAATGAATGTATTTCGCACTTATTTAATTAAGTCCATTTGATAATCAAAATTAATATCTCTTAATTTTTTAAATGCCCCTTAAAAATAGACTAAAATATTAAGTAGGAGGTCCCTTAATGCTGCACAATGAAAGCACTCAACAAGAGTATTTTTTATAATTTTTCCAATATGACAATTTTACCTTGAAATATTTTTTCTGTCTTCCTCCTATCTTTTTCTGCTGACACACACACATTCACACGCGCACGCACACAAAGATTAAATACACAGAAACATAGATCACAAAGACAGACCCACAAATCACAAGGAAGTGTTTATGTCCATATGCCCCAAGAAAAGGTTGAACACAACGCATAGCATACAACATAATTGACTTTCCCAAGTTCGATACTTGCGGTTTGTGAACATTATCTAGGCATTAAATCAGTAATTCACACTTTGAAAGCTTAATCAAACCCCTTTTAGTCAATTTTCTACGAACCTAAGATCAAATTATATTTATTCAGATATCTGAGAGAAAACCTATAGAAGTTTGATTAATTAAGATCTGAGAACTAAAGTTGACGGCTATGGCGGTTCAGTGACCGGAGCTTCAATGGTAGTCGGATTGAGGAGACCTTTTGTCAGCAAGGGATGACACAGATGGAGGAGAGAGAGAACGATGACGAACACCAAAAAAAACATGACGCCATGCACACTATCCGCAAACAGACAGACGTGAATTAATTTTGTTAATTATCATGTTTCTTAAATGTAGACTACAATGTATTAATAGTAATTATAATTTATGTAATGAATTACTCTTTAGTGATATATCGTGACTTTTTATTAGACAAATTCATATTTTATAAATATTTTTAAAATAAAGAATGGAAGGGTAAAACTAGGGACTAATTTATTTTTAGATGTCAGTTCTGTGTTCTTATCAAACGACTTGGTTCAATTTAGTACTCAAATTTCAGTGGGTATCAAATAGTCTGAGAACTAAAATTTAACATTCAACACTTAAAATTCAGCATTCAACTTTCAGTTTTATCAAACACCATAGTGCTAGTCCTAACCTATCAAGAGCATGAAAGTGCCTAGGACTTGCTATACTCGTCTTCTAGTTTTCGCATCGCGTAGTTAACACACAATAAACTCAATTCAAAAGCCTTGTGGTTCGCACTAGAGCCAGAATGCTGATATCAAATGACTATTGAGCCCTAATTAAATGCCCACAACCAACATTTGCAAATCCATGGTGTCTATGTTTTCATGCATTTTGTATTGAACTTGAATGGTGACCCGATTTTTTCGATCTAGACTCTAGACACGTAACTGCCTTAGGCATCTTTGTTCAATGCATAGTGCCACCACACATGTTCGTGCCAAGCAAGGCACATGAAGTGGGCTTCACAAGTTAATTTGTAGTTGGAAATGATCCATACCCAAGCCTTCGAGGACTGTGGAACATTGGAATTCCTCCAACCACCTCCAAAGAGAAAAGTGAGGAAAACCAGCACTGAAAAGCATAGAGAGGACCCATACCATTTAACTAAACACAGATAATTTCTAATGCTGCAAACAATGATACATACACAGCATGGTATACTCCTAAAAATACTTGAAAATAAATGGGAGAGAGACCAAGCCAAAGCAAATATAACGTAACAACCCAAGGTGCAAGGTCCTAACCAAAATGAAATGCCATCATATTCATGAAAATATCAATAAGAACTTAAAATTTCTACCGTGCTTCTTGTAGATTCTGTTGTCTCATAAGTAAAAACCCATAAGCAAGATAGACATTGGTTCTCTCGCGCACTCCAACAAAAGAATCTATAACTCTGTAAACTGGTCCAATCAAATCAAGAGCCTGCATTCAGACCAGTTCCACATAGAAAATAATAAATTTCCAAATGCAATCAACAACCAAAGATTAAAATCTAATTGCAACAACAAAAAATTTCACCTTTGAAGATGATTCTGCATCACCAATGCAAATGTAAGAGACTGCTGCATAAACTTGGCACATAGCTAGCATTGATTTGCTCTCAGTCAGCTACATATGAAGATCAAAGGAAATATTCAATCAAAAAATTTGAACGCTACTGACATGGCGACATCAACAGATCTTCTATCATTTGCTTCTCCCAATTAACATGGTTTTCATGGAAATATAAAACATTATCTATATTACCTTAAAATCTCAATTTTTTATAAATAAATACCTAAAATATTATCATGCAGTTCTTGGCTTCTCAGATCTTTAAGATAAACAAAATCTGTTAAAAAATTAATCACCAAGTTAGTTTTTTGGCAGTGTATGCAAGTATCTTTAATAGTTCATTTACTTATTGCCCTATTTTTCAAATTTTGCAAAATTAAGTATATGAAGTTTCTTATCTGAAAGTATTAAGCATAACAATCAACTTAAAAGACTATACATGCAATATCCTCTCTCCATCCATATTATGATCAATAGTTCTGTTCTAATGATACATTTATGTCCTTTTACGGGATGGAAAAATGAGGGCTGGAATTCTCATATTTCACTTCCAGTTGTCGAACCTAACATTTGATACCAATTCAATGATCTGTTGGACGACTTTCTAATGGGTGGGCATCAAGACTTAGAACTATAGCAAGTGGCCCTCTAATTGGTCATAAATACTATTCCAAGCTGAGTTTATCCATTAAAAAATGTACCTTTGAAGCCTCGACAAAATGAAAAGCAGCTTCACCATAACAACCAACAGAATGGGCATACTGCCCTCTAAGCATCTCAATGATGCTCTCACAAGCCTGTAAAATAGTTGGAAAGCGACTGAACCAACTTCTCATCTGCACCAAAGCCTGAAAATATACATACCATATTTAGTTTCTCAGTTTACAATTTGTATTCATATTGATAAACAGTATTGCACACGTGAACGAGTAAACAAGTTTCTAGCATGCCAATCAATGACAGGTATTGAAATCAACTTCATATCATAGTATCATTAGAGTATTCTAACGACTAGTGTTTTCTCATGTAGATCTTTCTTTAAGTCTCAAACTAATGAACCTTTAGTTCCATTATTCCAATCATCACTTAAGATTTGAAAAGCTAAAGTGCTTTTAAAGGTGCAATTTTATGTATGGATAATTGCTCATTATAAGATCAGTACCAATGATGTTCTTCTAAAGAAAAGACCCAATAAGTGTCTCCTTCCATAATGGTGTGTCATGTGTAAAGGTGATAGTGAATGTGTGGATCAATTATTTTTGCATTGTCCGTTGACACAATCACTATGAAATAAGTTATTTGATGTTGAGGGAATTTATTGGGCACCACCAAGGATCAAGGACCATGACATCTCTTCTATGTCCAGATGATATGGATTTCAGTGGACGTAGAAAATGGAAGACCCTTTGGCTTTGTGCCTTCTTTGCTACAGTATGGGTTATTTGGATGGAAAAAAACGAAGGTGTCTTTGAGAATAAGTGTGAGGACTATGGGATGGATTTTATTTCATGACCTCTTTTTAGGCCTCTCTGGCTAAGGAGCTTGAAGATATTCTTTTCTTTTGTATTACTTCAATTGATCCATGCTATATAGTCTTCTATAAAATCATTCTTTTTCTTTGCTGGTTTGTAGGGTTTTCTTTGGGATTTTTTTTTTGGGTTGAGGGGTGTTGATGTAGATTGTATTAGGGAAGAATTAGGGATGAGAAGGGAAGAAGAAAGGGATGAGAAAAGAAGAAGAAGGTGATAAGAATAGAGAGAATTTTAGAAAGAAAATTCAATATCAATAATCAATAATCAAAGTCTACCAAAACAAATAACATATCTCCTATATATATATATATATAGGGAGACCACAAATCCTAAAAGAACTCTAAAAGAAATAAATAGTCATAATGACAACTAAACCCCTGAAAAGCATAATGACAAATAACTCCTAATCCTTACGCCTATGCCTATTATAACGAAATATAATTCAATTCCTATCATTTCCCCCCGGCTGAAAAGAACTCGCCTCCGGAGAGATACGATCATGATAATGCTCTAAAAGATCAGGGTCAAGCCGACGAAACTCCTCCTCAGTAATCCATGAATCATCAGTCTCTGGACGATCTCTCCACCGAATAAGATAACGACGATATCCTCCATCCGAGGAGCCCACAATCTGATCATCGAGTACATCTGCGTTCTGATCATGCAGCTGTGGTGGAAACGGTGGAAGAATAGAAACTGTAGTTGATGCTGATGACAAAGCAAGTCCACCTGTAGGAACACCTGCTGGAAACATAGGAGACTCAAAAGTACCATGATAAGGAAACAAGTCCTCCACATTGAAAATAAGACTAATACTCATATTCGAAGGTAAGTCAAGGTGATATGCATTAGGTCCAAGCTTACGAAGAATACGAAAAGGGCAGTGGCTCGAGCATGTAACTTTTTGAAAGAATTTTTAGGATAACGTTCAGGACACACACGAACCATGACATAGTCTCCCATAATAAAATTCTTTATTCCTACGATGAACATCAACAACCAATTTATAATTCTCATTACTTAATGTAATTTTCTGTCTTATGTCAGCATGCAAGTCATGAATATGCTGGGCAAAAGCTTCGACTGAGTGTGAGGGGCGGGAATCAGGAGGTAAAGGTAATAAATCAATGGGCTGTCTAGGGGAATGACCATAAACAATCTTAAAAGGGGATAGACCAGTCGATCTGTTGACAGAGTTATTATAGGCAAATTCAGCAATAGGCAACAACAAATTCCAATTTCCCATCTTCTCACCCACTAGATACCTAAGCAAATCTCCTAAGCTACAATTGACTACATCAGTTTGACCATCAGTTTGGGGATGAAAGGCAGAGGAAAACTTAAGACTAGTTCCAAAGAGTTTCCAAAGTGTCTTCCAAAAATAACTCACAAACTTGACATCCCTATCAAACACAATGGAAATAGGCAACCCATGTAGTCGGACGACCTCTCTAAAAAATAACTTTACTACATGTGAGGCATCAGTAGATTTAGTGCAAGGAATGAAATGGGCCATCTTAGAAAACCTATCCACGACAACTAGAATGGAATCATGATTACGGGTTGTTTTAGGCAATCCTAAGACAAAGTCCATACTAAGGTCTCTCCATGGTGTGTGTGGAACTGGTAATGGTGTGTACAGCCTAGTGTTTTGTTTCCAGCCTTTGCTAACTGACAAGTGCGACACTGTGACATTATCCTAATAATGTCACACCACAAAGTGGGCCAATAAAACCTATCCTCAACAAGTGCAAATGTCTTATCCCTACCAAAGTGGCCTGTCAAACCTCCCACATGTAATTCCCAAATTAGGAAATCCCTAAGTGAAGTGCAAGAAATACATAAGCACGATCCTCTAAACAAGTAACCATCTCTAAGGAGGAAGTCAATGTACTCATGACAGTTACCAGACTGAACCTCCTGAAAAATGATACCAAAGTAAGGACAAGAGACATACTCATCTCTAATCCTGTCAAAGTCAATCACATGGACACTCATAGTCTATAAAACAGTAACTACACGGCTAAGAGCATTCGCAGGCTTGTTTTCAATGCCCGCTCGGTAGTGAAGAACAAAAGTATACTCCTGAAGGAACTCAACCCACCTAACGTGCCTAACACTCAATTTTCTCTGGGAAAAAAGGTATTTTAATGCCTGATGATCAGAATATAACACAAACTCAGATGGCAATAGATAATACCTCCAATGGCGAAGAGCTTGTACCACAATGTAGAACTCTTTGTCATATGTAGAGTATCGTTGTTTAGCTTCATTAAGTTTTTCGCTAAAGTAAGCAATAGGATGCCCTCTTGACTCAAAACTCTACCTATCCCTACACCAGATGCATCACAGACAACCTCAAACACCTTACGAAAAATCTGGGTGTCAAAGAACAGGTGCCTTTGTCATCCTGTGCTTAATTTCTTGAAAGCCTCTAGTTGCAGCAAGTGTCCATTGAAACTCCCATTTTTTCATGCACTCTATGATGGGAGCCATAATGGAACTAAACCCTTTAATAAATCGTCTATAGAAGGTGGCCAAACCATGAAAACTTTGAACCTCATAAATTGTTCTTGGCACTGGCCAATCCCTAATAGCACGAATTTTCTCTGGGTCAGTTGCAATACTATGCGCAGAAATAACAAATCTAAGGAAAAGCACTTGAGTTTGCATAAAGGAGCACTTCTTAAGGTTCGCATAAAATTTTTCCACACGTAATGTCTGCAAAATCTGTCGAAGATGATCCAAATGCTCTTCTTTAGATTTACTATAGATCAAGATGTCATCAAAGTAAACAACCAAAATTTTTTCTAGGAAATGACACAGTAATTGAGTCATAACCCTCATAAATGTGCTAGGTGTATTAGACAATCCAAAAGGCATGACCAACCACTCATAAAGTCCATCCTGGGTTTTAAATGCGATTTTCCTTTCATCTCCTGATCTAATTCGAATTTGATGATAACCACTGCGCAAATCAATTTTGGAGAACCAAAGTGCACCGACCAAAAGGTCAAACATATCTTCAAGTCTCGGTATAGGAAATCGATACTTGACTGTAATTTTGTTAATGACACGGCTATCAACACACATTCTCCAAGAGCCATCTTTCTTAGGGGTCAACAAAGCAGGGATAGCACATGGACTAAGACTATGACGAACAGATCCTTTTTGCAACAGTCCATCTACTTGCCTTTGGAGTTCAACACGCTCAGTGGGATTCATACGATAATGGGGAAGATTAGGCAACTGAGATCCTGGAACTAAGTCAATAGCATGCTGAACATCTCTCATTGGTGGCAACTCATCGGGTAGTTCCTCAGAAATCACAACATGAAACTTTGTCAATAGACTATCAACCTCAAGTAAAAGATCGTCTTTAGATTCTAGAGGACTTTGAACAACTTCTTTGACAACTAGAGCTACCATTATACCAGACTCTTTTCTCTCTTTCTCAAATTCTCTATGGGTCAAGATGTGAAGGTCTTTCTTGTGAATTACTGGGGAAGATGACCTATGCTTTGAAGTATTACTTTCTGAGGGTTTCGCAGGTTTTAACTTAATGATTTTCCCCTTATGCTTAAAAACATAGGTATTTTCCCTCCCATAGTTTGTCACATCTAGATCAAAAAGCCACGGGCGACCCAACAAGACATGAGCGACATCCATAGGTAAGACATCACACCATATATGATCTGAATAGTCACCCATCTGAATAGGGACCAAACATCTATGTGAGACTGGTAAGGAGGTCTTGTCAACCTATGCGACTTTGTAAGGTTGTGGGTGTGTCTCTGACTTAAGCTGCAACTGAGCTACAGCTGATTTAGAGATGACATTCAATGAACTTCCCCCATCAATGACGACCTTGCAAACTTGACCCCCACATCGAACTAGAGTATGAAAAATGCTGGTGCGTTTCCATGCTGCTGTGTCTGAAGGGGTAGATAAGATACATCGCATCACACTGACATGGGTGTCATCAATTTGCCACTCTTCCTCACCCTCATCTAGTAACTCTAAGGGTTCCTCATCCAAAGGATCAACTTCTTGGTCAACATCCTCTCTGTTAAGTGAATTCTCTAATCTGTGGTCAATGGTCAAGGTACACTGAGGGCACTGTAAAGCAATATGACCCTTGCCATGACAACGATGACACTCTATGGAAGAACTGTCCTGGTGAGAACCTATGAGGGTAGAATCTCGACCCCTAGTGGTATTACCTCTCAAGTTGGGGTAATTGTTACCCCTGGATGTGANAAATCACAACATGAGACTTTGTCAATAGACTATCAACCTCAAGTAAAAGATCGTCTTTAGATTCTAGAGGACTTTGAACAACTTCTTTGACAACTAGAGCTACCATTATACCAGACTCTTTTCTCTCTTTCTCAAATTCTCTATGGGTCAAGATGTGAAGGTCTTTCTTGTGAATTACTGGGGAAGATGACCTATGCTTTGAAGTATTACTTTCTGAGGGTTTCGCAGGTTTTAACTTAATGATTTTCCCCTTATGCTTGAAAACATAGGTATTTTCCCTCCCATAATTTGTCACATCTAGATCAAAAAGCCACGGGCGACCCAACAAGACATGAGCGACATCCATAGGTAAGACATCACACCATATATGATCTGAATAGTCACCCATCTGAATAGGGACCAAACATCTATGTGAGACTGGTAAGGAGGTCTTGTCAACCTATGCGACTTTGTAAGGTTGTGGGTGTGTCTCTGACTTAAGCTGCAACTGAGCTACAGCTGATTTAGAGATGACATTCAATGAACTTCCCCCATCAATGACGACCTTGCAAACTTGACCCCCACATCGGACTAGAGTATGAAAAATGCTGGTGCGTTTCCATGCTGCTGTGTCTGAAGGGGTGGATAAGATACATCACATCACACTAACACGGGTGTCATCGGTTTACCACTCTTCCTCACCCTCATCTAGTAACTCTAAGGGTTCCTCATCCAAAGGATCAACTTCTAGATCAACATCCTCTCTATCAAGTGAATTCTCTAATCCCTAGTCAATGGTCAAGGTATGCTGAGGGCACTGTGAAGCAATATGACCCTGTCCATGATAACAGTGACACTCTATGGAAGAACTGTCCTAGCGAGAACCTGTGAGTGTAGAATCTCGACCCCTAGTGGTATTACCTCTCAAGTTGGGGTAATTGTTACCCCTGGATGTGACAGGGCCTGACTGGGTGACGCCTCGAGACCGATAAAATAGGACTGACCTTGATGGTTGAGATTCTCCGATTTGAGAAGGCATTCGACGCTGAAAGGGTAGCCTAAGGTATTGTTCAATCTCTAAGGCTTTATAATATGCTTCCTCAACCGTTTTAGGAGAGTGTAAGTTAAGCTCTCTCTTAATCTCAAGTTGTAAGCCATTAATGAATTTTGTAATTGTTACCCAAAGCTCTTCCTTTATGTCACATCTCAGAAAGAGCACTTCAAATCGAGCTAGGTAATCAGTCACACTCGAGGTCAATTGACGCAAGTTCATCCNTATAGCTAAGACATCACACCATATATGATCTGAATAGGGACCAAACATCTATGTGAGACTGGTAAGGAGGTCTTGTCAACCCATGCGACTTTATAAGGTTGTGGGTGTGTCTCTGACTTAAGCTGCAACTGAGCTACAGCTGATTTAGAGATGACATTCAATGAACTTTCCCCATCAATGATGACCTTGCAAACTTGACCCCCACATCGGACTAGAGTATGAAAAATGCTAGTGCGTTTCCATGCTGCTGTGTCTGAAGGGGTAGATAAGATACATCGCATCACACTGACATGGGTGTCATCAATTTGCCACTCTTCCTCACCCTCATCTAGTAACTCTAAGGGTTCCTCATCCAAAGGATCAACTTCTTGGTCAACATCCTCTCTGTTAAGTGAATTCTCTAATCTGTGGTCAATGGTCAAGGTACACTGAGGGCACTGTAAAGCAATATGACCCTTGCCATGACAACGATGACACTCTATGGAAGAACTGTCCTGGTGAGAACCTATGAGTGTAGAATCTCGACCCCTAGTGGTATTACCTCTCAAGTTGGGGTAATTGTTACCCCTGGATGTGACAGGGCCTGACTGGGTGACGCCTCGAGACCGATCAAATGGAACTGACCTTGATGGTTGAGATTCTCCGATTTGAGAAGGCATTCGACGCTGAAAGGGTAGCCTAAGGTATTGTTCAATCTCTAAGGCTTTATAATATGCTTCCTCAACCGTTTTAGGAGAGTGTAAGTTAAGCTCTCTCTTAATCTCAAGTTGTAAGCCATTAATGAATTTTGTAATTGTTACCCAAAGCTCTTCCTTTATGTCACATCTCAGAAAGAGCACTTCAAATCGAGCTAGGTAATCAGTCACACTCGAGGTCAATTGACGCAAGTTCATCCACTTGTCCAAGAGTTGGCGCTTATAGTAACTAGCGACATATTTATCTCGGAATCTTTGTTACATCTCAGCCCATAAAGTAATAGGTTGTCCCTCTAGGCGCTCTTGGTCTCGTTGGACTCCCTGCCAATATCTCTTAGCCGAACCAACGAGTTTCATTTTGACAAAACGAACCCGATGGTTGTCGGACATATCATACCAATCAAAATAGTCATCCACGTCATCCAACCAATCTAAGAAAGAAATAGGATCTAACCTACCATCAAAGCTAGGAGCGTCCACTTTGACTCTTTGTGTGATATCCTTAGATTCTTCGTGGACATACCTATGTCGAGGATTATGGTAACGCAGAGGCGGAGACCTATGGTATCTGGCACGTGGGTGGAAGGGCTCACAATAACCATCCATATCACCCTCTGCTGAATAGTCAGACATGACTACCTCAGCAGGATCCTCCTGAACATTCCTACGACCTACGTTTCGTCCAAAAGCGGTATTAGGAGGTGTCTTCCTATCTAGACGTTGTATTCGGCTCCCTTGAGCTACTTGCGGAGTGGGTAGGACACCTTGACATGAGTCAATAGGATCTATCGGGAGAGGCAAGTGCCGAGCATTGGGTACTTGGTTAGACTTAGGTGAAACTTGTGACTCACTCTGGTCATAGTCTATTGGTCGTTTTTCCATAAACTTAGTCAATTGGGCTAGTTGAGTAGTAACTTGAGAAAGTTGTTGCCCCATTCCTTTAACTTTCTCACGTAACAAGTCGACTGATTGTTTAGTATCGGTCATATCAATGGTGAGGGTCTCAAATTTTTGTTCTAATGCAATATGGGATTCTGAAAGCTCACAAAGGGTCATAGTGAATGTAATGTAAAATTTGGACTAATGTAAATGGCCGACTAGACTAAAAATTAAACCAAGTAATAAAAATTATAAATCAATGCAAATGATCACACATAAGAACAAACTTATTATAAAGAGGCTCAAATAAACGTGATACAAGCAACAATAGATTTAACAAGAAATTAGGTAAGCTAAGTTATGAAGGTCGTGTGTGGGAACAACAAACAAAGGTTATGAAGGTGGTATGCGGGAACAACAAACAAAGAAAATTTAGGGTTTTTTTTTTTTTTGACTTACCAAAAAATATAAGTACTAGTCACCAATTCTCAACAAAAAGAACTCGTACCTGGTGTTAGATGCAACTCCAAGAGGATGCTTGACAAGTTAGGGGATGATCCTACAAAGTGTAGAACTTTCTGGGGTGTTTCTGCAATTTTTGAAACTTTTGGGGTGATGTTTCTGTAATTTTCTGAGCCTGTTGGGACGTTTCTACAATACTGGAATTTCTGGATGATACTTCTGCAATTTACTAGAACTTCTGGGATGATTCTGTAACTTTTAGGAACTTCTGGGGAGGTTCCTGTAATTCTGGAGCTTTATGGGGGTGAAAGGGTTAAAACCAATGTCTTCTTCCTTAACACAATGGAACGAGGAAGAAGATGAGGAAGAAGATGGGCTGCGATGAAGTCGAAGTAGCCCAGGTCAACGACGAAAACAGGCACAATGAACAGAAACAACGATGAACAGTACACAATTATTTTTTTTTTTTTTATGGAACGAGACCAGGACAGTGCGCACAATGAATTTTATTTTATTTTTTTTTAGAACAGGAACGATGAACAATAAGAATCTGCCAAAGTTTTTTTTTTTTTTTTTTACCTGGACAGCTGGTGAACAGTGATTTCGCGCGAATAGTTTTTTTTTTCGATGGACGGCGTTGTTGAGATTTTTTGTGATTTATATGAATCGAAATTAGGTTCTGATACCAAATTGATGTAGATCGTATTAGGTAAGAATTAGAGATAAGAAGAGAGGAAGAAAGGGATGAGAAAAGAAGAAGAAAGAGATGAGAATAGAGGGAATTTTAGAAAGAAGATTCCATATCAATAATCAATAATCAAAGTCTACCAAAACAAATAACATATCTCCTATATATATAGAGAGAGACAACAAATCCTAAAAGAACTCTAAAAGAAATAAATAGTCATAATGACAACTAAACCCCTGAAAGTATAATGACAAATAACTCCTAATCCTTACGCCTACTATAACGAAATATAATCCGATCTCTATCAGGTGTAGGAATTGAAATCATTTTCATTATTTTAAACTTATGGTAACTTTACCAGCTAGGAAAATTCACCCTCAAAATGAAGTTCAGGGCCACAGAATACCCACTCATTTGGTTTGCACATAAGGAAAAGCAAAGAGAACAAACAAGACATCATGATCTTCGTAATCCCTCAAAACTCAAAAACTTACTAAAGCCAGTTATGAGGAATTCACAATCAAAAGAGGCACATGGACAAGGAGATGTGGTGAAAAGAAGACAGTTTTCTTCTATACAAATATCTCAATAGCATGGACATAGGTAGGTGACCGTACTTCTTGTTTATTACCTAAGAAACAGTAGTATATATTCCAACTCTTAACACATTGAATAAGAAAGTATATAAACCTGTGTACCTGAACCAGATAACGATATAGTGAAAACACATATATAGTAAAACATGGCAGCACCGGAGGATACAACCAACCTCTTGTGCTTCGACAAACTCAGACCGTGTGAGATTGATAGCAACTTTGTTTTCAAGGAACTGCATTAGAAGCATCAGATAAACACCAGCCATCCATATGGCAGAGTGTTGCAATTGCACTTCTGCTTAAATGAACATTTCGGCAAACAAACATTAGTACCCCATACTTTGTTTTTGGTAGAAACCTCGACTTTCAAAAAAAAATTGAAATAAAGACCGGTTATAACAGCATTCTTAACCACCTAGTGATGATTAAAATTAACTCTGCAAAAAAATAATACCAAGAGAAAAACAGCAACTTTAAATATAGATTAAGAAAACAGAAACACACCTCTCACACCATCGGTGATTCCAAGCTTCGCCAGCTCCTCTGCATGTCACACAATACTTCAGGTTTCGAAGCTGAGCATGTTATAGAAGTTGATTTCTACATACAACATGCTTTAAGGAGAAAACCTCATGAAGTCACTAAGTAGTCTTAATAAATTCATTTTTCACAGTAACAGTTTTCTCATCCAAACAATTGTCCTAAAGGCTTAAACCCCTGCCCTAGAATCGCACGCCTGCCCTCTCTCTCAAGAAGTTTCCACGTACATGACTGCTCTTTGAATTTGGAGAATAAATAGAAAGCTGCTGTTGCATGACTGCAACATAAGCAAAAATACTAAAAAAAAATGAAAATCCAACACCATATATCCTGCAAAGTTTGTGCTTGAGCAGAAGAAAGCACCATGCCAATAATTTTGGCATAACATCTCCCACATTCAATGCTTACATGCCTCTAGAGTTACTTGTTAATTTCTTACTTCACAGTGGACAAAGGCATCACCCATGACATGCCAAATTGCAAAACAATACCGGTCAAACTCATGCCAACAATTAATTGACTCGGAGCAAGTTTACCATAGAGCAGGATGATAAAAGAAGTACCCACCTTATAGCAATAGGGATCTTAGCAGTCCAAATTTTCCACAAATTGCTGACCAAGGACATTTGAGAAGTGACCAGAGGCTTCCAAATAAATAGCAAATGAATACTACAGTGGAACTTTCTAAATCACACACCAAAGAGAAAAAACTCCACACTGTGAATCCACAAAACTATCCCAACCCAGTAGTGGTTGGAGCCTTGTGCATTAAGCTGCCCTTCTTAATCCACCAAAACTATCCATGGTCCAATGACCATCAGTTGGTTCCAATCTCTTTTATCTCTAATACTTTTAACAATTACCTGGGTTACATTTAATGAGTACAAATATGTGTGGTCCTATGAAAATCATTGACACATAGAATCCACCATTCGTTTCTACCGTTTGCAGAAAAACGTGGTCCTAATGGGTAAAGTAACCAAATTTTAAAAGTTGGTAATTACAAAGCATTGCTAATCAAGGACATGCCTTTTCAAACTCAATATATAAAAGAAATTCCATCAGACTCTTAGACACAATTAAATGTGTTCCTTAAATTAAAATTCAGCGATCCATTAACATATAAAAAATCTTTATGCTTATTTGACTTATACGCTTCACGCTACCACCATACTTTAGTGGCAGCATCTGGGAACACAAAAGGCAGGGGACTCATGGACCCACTGAGCCAATTTCATGGGTGCACTTTTCAGGGACAGGTAATTATTCGGATGAAATCCAAGGAAAGGACCTGATAAATTTTCTTAGTAAGTAAAAGGTAAATAAAGCAAAACCTTTTCAGATCCCCAAGTTTCAGATTGTTAAGCTTGAATGTGCCGTCGGTAAGTCTAAATGCAGGTGTCTATTCCAAATTAACAGAAGAAAGAGACGGAGCTAGAATCGGCATTAATACTCAACCATAAATGACAAAAACAGTGCCCAAGAGGTAAGAACCAAAATTATGCCTCAATCTAGGAAACCAACCTTGGATGCTTAGCATTCCAGATTGAATCCGCTTTCCACACTCCTTAAAAATCCCTTTTGGACGACCAAAAACCACCACCATAAGATCAACCAGGGCATACACCGCACTTTTCGGCAGCCATTCCCCATCAATAGGAGGAGGAGCCAACTCAAGTTTATCACCCCATGCTCGTCTTACGTTTCCAAAATATGCTGGTTCCAGAGAGTCTTTTGCTGTTGAACTCGCCCCATTAACACTACTAAGTTGTTCTTCAAGCTGAGCTTGCTTTTCTGAAAGTGCTGATCTATCTCTGTAGTGTAGATCAGACCGAGATAGACTTTGATTTAATGCATCAAGCTCTTTAGTGAGATCCTGGACATGTCGCATATGCTGTAAGTCCGCCTTCATAGTGGCATCTAACTTGTCAACATGTTGAGCAGCATTCTTGTAGTCACATAGCCGAAGTAGATAAAATATGTGCAGCAGCTCATTGTAAAAGAGTAGACCAAGGCATTGCTGTCTCTTTTAGGATTCAAGCAGGCAGAATAAAGGCATCAGAATGAATTCATGTTAGATCACAGATCTTCGCAAAAACCATAACAAAAAAATGAGTCTAATAGTAACAAATGAACAGATTTTCAGTTTCAATTATCTGGTAAACAAATTTTCAGTTTATCTATGCCCATGACAAACTCCTCACCAGAACAAGTTTCAACTTTTGAAGTCCTTGCAGTTACTAAACAATCCCCAGAAAGGGATATACAAGCCCCCCCCCCCCCCCCCCCCCCCCCCCCCACACAAACACCCCCCCCCCCCCCCCCCCCCCCCCCCCCCCCCCCCCCCCCCCCCCCCCCCCCCCCCCCCCCCCCCCCCCCCCCCCCCCCCCCCCCCCCCCCCCCCCCCCCCCCCCCCCCCCCCCCCCCCCCCCCCCCCCCCCCCCCCCCCCCCCCCCCCCCCCCCCCCCCCCCCCCCCCCCCCCCCCCCCCCCCCCCCCCCCCCCCCCCCCCCCCCCCCCCCCCCCCCCCCCCCCCCCCCCCCCCCCCCCCCCCCCCCCCCCCCCCCCCCCCCCCCCCCCCCCCCCCCCCCCCCCCCCCCCCCCCCCCCCCCCCCCCCCCCCCCCCCCCCCCCCCCCCCCCCCCCCCCCCCCCCCCCCCCCCCCCCCCCCCCCCCCCCCCCCCCCCCCCCCCCCCCCCCCCCCCCCCCCCCCCCCCCCCCCCCCCCCCCCCCCCCCCCCCCCCCCCCCCCCCCCCCCCCCCCCCCCCCCCCCCCCCCCCCCCCCCCCCCCCCCCCCCCCCCCCCCCCCCCCCCCCCCCCCCCCCCCCCCCCCCCCCCCCCCCCCCCCCCCCCCCCCCCCCCCCCCCCCCCCCCCCCCCCCCCCCCCCCCCCCCCCCCCCCCCCCCCCCCCCCCCCCCCCCCCCCCCCCCCCCCCCCCNCCCCCCCCCCCCCCCTAATACCCTTCTACAACACTAAAGCACCAAAATTTCACTTACACGCGGGTGCTGTCTACCAAAACAACAACTGATTATTTTTGTACTTTTAGAACAAAAAGCCCAAGACAACAAAGATTTATCCTGACTCCTTATACAACTTTTTAACCAATCAATTCTTGGCCACATCCACTAAATTAACAAATATTGCAAACAATTACTTGCCAAAGAAAAACAAATAATGCAAACAATCAAAATTTGAGTTAATGGATTTAGCTATCTAACTTGAACAACCCTACTATTGCCAGGCTTAGGACCAATAATATGAAAAGTAATTTTTCAAATAAAGTTAGAATGCTTTGACTGGAACAATAAATCCAATAAGGGTTAGCAGCAGACAGACATGTACTTTAATAAAGACCTCAGACAAAACCAGGAGATTCAAATGAAAGCTAAGCCATTTTGCCTAACAGAGATCCAGTGCCAATCCACATCAATATAGCTAAGAGATATAAGAACATGCATTGATACTCAGTGTGGTAGCTATAAATTATCTGTAAAATATTATTTCTCACTGTTTGAGTGTCAAAAATCACCAGAAAACTCCTAAACCATCTTAGTACTTATACAGCATTTCAAGCAAATTTCTGTTTTGCCAGATTAACAGTTCTTATACTTCTTCACCTGCAGTAGTGTATTAAATTTGCAACTGGAGAGCATGTCAAATATCAAGTTGGAACTCCAACCTAAGTTGCCCCTGGGATGCAAAATACGTAAAACAATGAAGATCTGGACTTACTTTGTGGAGTTCAATAGACTCCCACACCCCGTTGCATCTATTGATAGCTCCTTCGACTACATTTAAATCTTCCCATTCCATAAGGCGCACGTGCAAAACAGAAGTAGCAAAGAACATCTGCTCAACTAGCACAAGACACAGAATGTGAGAAACATAGAATTGCATAATATCTCCAAAGGGCGACCGCCTGCCCAAAAAATATGATAATCAGAACGACTTGTGTATTACAGCCACATGGCATGCACCTCTGCTCCATTAACGTATTTGTGGCAAATCCTGTGCAACTACAATTTTGAAAACAACTACAGGCTGCCAAATCTATTCACAGAACAGATACTAAAAAGAACCCCACCATCTATGCGATGCACACAAATTACTGGTAGAATATTGATTTTAGTTCACGCAAACCTGTAATTCTGCATAACACATTTCAGTTGCACATATATATCCATGTTCTAAAGCAGATATAGAACCCCGGTAATCTCCCTCAACTATCAAAGCATTTGCCAGTTGTGAACTGAAGTTGCACGACCATAAACTCCAAGCAAACCTTCAAGTAAATGATCCCAAACCAATCAGTGTGAATACAGAACTACGCAACGTAAATGCATATCATCACTTGTACAATCCAATGAGAATAACTTGAAACAAATTGCAAACTTGCTGAACTACAAAGAACATTCTATTCTAGACGCTGTCATTGGACAATTAACTTTAGTGTTAAATTAGGAAATCAACTTAATTTTGTTCTAAATCTCAACTGACATACAGGCAGAACAAGAATTTTGTAAAACATAATATTCTAAAGAAACTATTCAGAATCTTACTCCCGCATGCTACAATATATACAACAGATGAAATACATATAACATCTTTAAATGACTTGTTATCCAAGAGCAATGGTCAAGCCTCCAATTACATCAAAAAAATCAGCATGAGAAGTATGGCATGCAATTAGCAGAAAAACCTGGGTAAAACTTCAATGTTAAAGACTGCATCTCAGGAAGCATTGTAAAGTTAAAAAATAGCTATTTAAGCAACAAGTAGAAGCCCCAAAAATAATGAGCATACCCATTTCCAGAAGTTGCAGTAAGTTCTAAACCTTTGTTCAATATCTGTTTTTGTGAAGGAATAGCTCCAACAAGATGGTAACACTGGCTCAACAAGCTATATGCTCTGCACTTCAACTCGAAGCATGAAGGAATAGACTTCAACAACAGTTGCTGCAAGAGGTAAAATTCTGCTAGTAAAATGTGGAACCACAGACTTAAATGAACATTCGTCTTATACCTTACTAACATAGTGTTTCAGCCATGCAGGGTTAGAAGGAAGAAAGTGACTAGTCATTGATTACTAAATAGGTTAGCCTTTCTCTTTTTTGACTAGGAAGGCCTATATATCTCAGTCTCAGCTATGATGATATAAAAAGATTATTACGAACGAATAGCTATATCTCTAATAAGGATCCTAAAACAGTAATCCAGAGCTTATTCTGCGTTTGGCAGCACTGAATTGGGGTCTTGAAATTATAATTTTGAAAAGCAGTTAAAAATCTTTATTCATTCTGACGCCTCAATCCCCTCCCCCAGCACAGCATGGATGGCCCATAAATGGAGAATGCTATTGTTTTGCCTCTCAACAGTACCTTTGTGGCCCCAAGTTACCGTTCGGAGAAGACAAAGTAGTTCAGGCAAAACGTTAATTCCAAACCCTGACTCAATTCTCCAATGTTTTTAGCAGTTGAGCAGATGTAAACTCTTCAATCGGAAAATAAAGACACACAAATATACTACATATCAAATCTAATAGCGGAAATTGGAAATTAAACTTACAAAATCAACACACACACACACATACACAGAGAATAGGGACTAACGGAGCGTTCGAGATGGGCCTTGGCGTGATTGACGTTGTGGGAGTGCTTGAGGAGGAGAGTGGCGATGCGGAGGCGGGTCTTTACCTCAACTATGGGTAGGAAAGAGACTGTGCTTTGACATATAGCTTCCAAGCACTTGACGGCCTTCCCGATTTCACCCTTCTTCTCGTGATAGTCTGCCAGTCCCCATAGCCCCTCCGCCACCGCCTCCATTACTGTGCTCTAGCAGTCAATTACAGTTCAAACACATCCATGAGTGGTTTTTCTTCAATTTCATCTTCACGGTGATCGAGTGAATTGATTTGCTTCTCCACCCAAAACTAGGAGGGAAATACCTGATTTTTGATGAATAATAGTTGAAAAATGGAGCTAGGGCTCAGATCCCACTGGATCGTCTATTTTACGAATCATTCAGCTAATTTTTTCACCCTTTTTTTTGAGTCTGAATAACATGAATTGTATCCCGTAAGATTTAAGAATTCTTATCCATATTTTTACCCTACGGGATGTGTGTTTTTAGCATATGCTTGTTTTAACCTAAATAACTCTCGAATAATTATATGGAAAATTTTCAAAATAATTTCTTTTTTAAAAAAATTAAAAAAAAAAACGGATGACATACATAAACATAATACAAAAAAAAATTTAAAATAAATTTAAAAAAAAAAATAAATGGTGATACTGTACGCCTAAACATAATATAAAAAAAAAATTTTAAATCAGATTTTTTTAAAAAAAAATAATTAAAAAAATTAAAAAATAAAAAACCGTTTGTGGCAAAAATTAAAAAATAATACCACCTCTTACCATGTACATGAGTTTTTGTGAACTATAGCTAACGGATCATTATTTTGCAACCCGAAAAATAGTATCACATGAAAAAAGACAAACAAATAAAATATTACTGGGCTCCACATACTATTTTCCTTAATCCCACCTCCTTGTATCACCATTATCCTTCAAACAAACATGCCCTAAATGTATTAACAGCATTACTCATTTCAATAAATGTCTTCAATAAATATCAATAGAGTGCTTTTTGACATAATAAGAAATAAAAATTAACAAAGTATCACATTATTAATTCAATATATTGAGAGAACAATGTGAAAAAAATACTTACTAATTATTTAAAATAAAAAAACTTAAATTTTTTAAGGTACAAAATGCAATCCCCATAAATTAAACATAAATGACGCACAACAACTTGAATGGCAGATTCATTATGAAGGTACTCATCCTTTCAATTACTCTCTTTTCTGGATACAAGCTCATGACCTATTGTCGGATGTGATCACAGAGGAGGATGCCCCTGTTAATAGCTCAAGCATTAGGGCGACCTATAGAGCATCAGACCAAACTAGTGCAAAAATCAATATGGAAGAATTATCTCAGAACTCGAGTCATGCTCTATCAAGGAAACTTTGGTTACTTTTCTTCTAGCTCCCAAGGAATGGCTTCCCAGATTAGAGGATTGACCTCAAGTATGAAACGTTGAAAGATTACTACTACAGATATGAGAGATTAGGGCATGATAATTTAGAGTGTAAACATCCGACATCCCACATAAATCAGATCCAATATGGACCTCACCTCTGTGTGATGGCTAGACAATTGCCAAAACCAACAACACTAGAGGACCAAACAAAGAGATCGGTGCAGGCCGTTGTGCGTGGAACAGCGACAAATTGATCAGCAAGTCAAGTAGCAAAATATTCTGTGAATTAAGGCACGACGTGGAATTCATTACTGGATGAGGTACAAATCGTCGGTATCGCACCCCACAACAAAAGATATGGTCTGAAACCCTAGTCTCACCGACTTAAGAGGATTGTAGATTGGGTATCTGAGAATATTAGAAAAGTTAACTCAAAAAACCCAAAATGCAACAAACCCGAGACCAATCCATTTACTATGGATACACACACAATCCAAGCCCAACATACAAACACTCCCACCAACCCAATCCACTAAGCCTTAGAAAGCCCCAACCACAAAACCCAAAACAATCAAAGCCTATATTCTTAAAACCCAAAAGCCTAAAAAATCGCTAACCACAAAAACCAAAAACAACCAAAGCCCAAAGCCAGAAGCCTGTAACCCTAAAGACCAACAATAGCCAGAGCCAAGGCGTTCACAATAAAAGCCCAAAAAACTACACCCAGCAGAATGATACAACCCAAAACCTAAACAAACAAGGAAAAATTATGGATAGGTACACTATATACTACTTATCTGTAGGGAAGTAACATATAGGTTCTCTTTGGTATAAGCCCTTTTTTTTAGGAAAGTGTTGTGAATAGATACACATTAGCTGTTTTTTAATTATTTCATTTACATAATTGTCATTTTTCATTAATCATGGATTATTTTTTAGGCATTGAATTGTGGAATTCAGTTTCTTATTTTTTTGGGACAACACATTTGAATTTTGAACTACATCTTCCTGTAGTTATCCCACAAGATCGCTTGGGATTCAGTTTCCTATTTTATTGTAGACTTCACATATCATTCTATAGTATAATTAGACGTTATCACTATGTAATGTGACATTATAACTATTATAGTGTGACATTATCAATATTTTAATGTGACATCAACAATGGCTGTCACACCCTAACTGGCTTGGGTGCACAATGACAAGTTTTGGTGGCACCTTGCACCAAGACACGCCATGGTTTGGAATCAAGGTGATGCAGCTAAGTGGTTCGACAAATTTGTGCAGACTGTGGCAACATGAGACCACCCGACTAAGCATGACAACGCATGGTGGGCTCAATTGAGGCAATGTTGGTGCATGACTTCGAATTGAATGATATAGGCTTGAACCAGAATACATACTGGTTCATGGTCAAGGTTGGACGCTGAATTGTGGACACATGACTGACACATGGCCGTTCAATGCATGTGGACAGTTGTTGTGCATGACTCAGTCAAAGCAGTTGTTGAGCATGACCTAGTCTAAAAGAGGCAATTGTGGGCATTCATAGCAACATTCTAGTCCAAATGTATATAGATAAGGGCAGTTTCACATCAGGTGATAAAATGATAGAACTGTCTAGCAGGTGTTGTGCAGAGATGTAACCTTGCTGACCAAGTCTGCTAGAAAAATGGCAGACTATTATAATAACCCCTTGGCAAATGGGGGTGTCATAAGTCATGTTGTTTGTATAAATAGGGGTGCTTGGACATTTTGTAGAGGTAGAGAGTTCTTGGTTAGAGTTGAGTTTTCTTGTAATTGTAGAGAGCTTCAATATAAGGTTTTAGAATGTTTTTCCAATAAATTCATGTATTGCCTTTGTGTGTCCCTATATTCAAGTTTGTGTGGTTGGTTGCAGTGACAAAGCCTTAACAGGTAGCCTCAAAAGTGAAAAATGAGTAGTTACTCCATGACAGATTGACATTAGAGCTAGGTTTTGGTAGAAAGATCGATCCATGGCTGGCAGAATGAATGTTGATTTGAGGGAAATGGTGGCATGTTTGGAGGAATTGGTTGGTCCCCTACAAGCTGGTGATATTGTGGTTCTATTTGTGCAGCTTGAGTTGTTATACCAACGGTTCGAATTGATATGGGTGTCACAAGAATAACTTCAAAATGTTAAATCTGATCACTTCAACCAGACAAAGAACGAAGTTGTTGATGTGCTTGCCACATTTTCTACATGGATTGATAGTTTAGGGGGAAAAATGAGTTCCCTCAAGATGGATGTAACATTGCTCAAGAAAACACTGCAGAATGCCCCTTCGTGTTCTAGTTGTGAAAGTATGCAGTCGTAACACCAAAGAGCTTAATAATTTTTTATGGGATAGGGGACACTACTTCAAGGTAGTCTGCACTCTAGATGTTGAGAAAGTAAATCTCTCCAATATGTACCTATTCGGTGATACTAAGTTGTGGTGGAGGACATGATCAGATGACAAGTCTCATCCTTAAATCACTATGTGGGAAGCTTTATCTGCTGAAATGAAGAAGTAATTCCTTCTAAGCAATATGACTTGGCAAGCCTGTGATGCTTTGAGAAAGCTTTGACATACAAGCACAGTGAGGGAGTATGTGAAGCAATTCTCATATCTCATGCTTGACATTAAAAACATGTTGGAGGAAGACAAGTTGTTCAACTTCATGTCCGGTCTTTAGACTTGGGCACAGGCTGAACTTCGTCGACAAAGGGTGAAGGATATACTCGTTGCTATGTCCGCAACAGATGCGTTGGTGCATTACAAGACACAGGCTAACCCTTCGAAGAAGGACAAGCAAGCAAAAGAAGAAGGCTGAGAAGTCTAGTACAATGGATAAGTAGACCGATAATCCCTCTGCGTCAAAAGAAAATGTTGACTCGGGTTGTTTCATCTGTAATAGCTCTCATTGTGCCAAAAATTGCTCCAAGAATGAGAAACCCAATGACCTCATGGCTAAGGATGCTGAACTTTCAAATGAGCCTACATGAGCCAATCCATTGTAACTCCTTAATACAATTCGCAAAGAGGATACTATGACAAGGAGGGCATCGATGTTTGTATAGATTAAGATGAACAATGTGACTGTCCAGGTGATGGTTGATATAGGTACAACACATAACTTTGTTTCTGACCAAGAGTTGCAGCGACTTGGTTTGGCTTTAACGAAAGATTCTAGCCAGATCAAGGCTGACAATTTAAAAGCAAAACCAATAGGCGGTGTTGGTAGAGACGTTCCACTAAAATTTGATGATTGGTAAGGACAATGTGATTTTATGGCAATCCCTCTCGAAGATTTCCAGGTGATCTTTGGGTTGAAATTTCTTACTAAGGTAAAGGTGTTTGTGATGCCTCACTTGCATGGGATGTTCGTGATGGACATGCCCAGTCCCTATTTTGTATCTCTTATCAAAGTTAAGTCCTCAGGGGAAATGTTGTCTGTCTTGCAAGTGAAAGATGACTTGCAAAGAAGAGACACAACATACTTGATTGTTNGAAAAATGAGTTCCCTCAAGATGGATGTAACATTGCTCAAGAAAACACTGCAGAATGCCCCTTCGTGTTCTAGTTGTGAAAGTATGCAGTCGTAACACCAAAGAGCTTAATAATTTTTTATGGGATAGGGGACACTACTTCAAGGTAGTCTGCACTCTAGATGTTGAGAAAGTAAATCTCTCCAATATGTACCTATTCGGTGATACTAAGTTGTGGTGGAGGACATGATCAGATGACAAGTCTCATCCTTAAATCACTATGTGGGAAGCTTTATCTGCTGAAATGAAGAAGTAATTCCTTCTAAGCAATATGACTTGGCAAGCCTGTGATGCTTTGAGAAAGCTTTGACATACAAGCACAGTGAGGGAGTATGTGAAGCAATTCTCATATCTCATGCTTGACATTAAAAACATGTTGGAGGAAGACAAGTTGTTCAACTTCATGTCCGGTCTTTAGACTTGGGCACAGGCTGAACTTCGTCGACAANATAAAAA